ACGAAATAGGGTGAATACATCTCATTACACTGATTTACTGGTAGTCTCGAAACCCTACTCTGATATGACAATAAATAGCCAATGAAGAGTGGATATTTCATCCTTAAATGTGATATTTCTTCGCACCATTTGGGCACCGCCTATGGAGCTATTTCTGTTCTTTCAATGCCCAACATCGCAATTGCATCGACGTAGACACGAAGCCCTTTGGACGATTGGTGATTGGTCGAACTTGGAAAGATACCTTCAGGATAGATGCGTATGAAAAGCATGTGTTTCCCATGTGCTATTCCCTGAAGTGGCGGAGTACATGCTACGACGACGTGTGGGTGAACAGGGACGACTCAACTTGGTCATCTTCTCAGAGCTATTTCGACGACGGTGACACGTACCGTGTCATCTTTCAGTGCAGTATTTGGCCCCTGATTGGAAGCATTCCTGGAAGTTTCTACACACCACAGTTGTTGGCGTCATCAGTGCGCTAAAGCACATCTTTTTAATTATCATGCCCACGAGATGAGACGAGCTGTCATGTCCGGAAAGAGCAAACGTGTAAGATCAGGCAAAATAAGAGCATATCAGCTGAAATTAAGAGGAAATAGGACCAAAGTTCACCCGATGCGTAGGGGAGGAAATGGGAGCTGGGCAACATCTATTCACATTTCGGATTCACATGATGACTCAAGCGTCTGTGCAAGTAAAGGGCACTGGTGGAGGTGATGACGATGACTGTGAGGATGATTATGATGCTACTGATAATGTTGCTGTTGATCGTGATGATGGTGACGATGATGCCAATGATGTGGATGGAGGCTTATGCTCTTTCTGCCCCCGACAACGACGACAGTGACAATGATATCGGGGATCACACAAAAGCAGATACGGATGATGTGTATGATACTGATGACGATGGTGACAACCGTCTTGATCGTCTTCAATTGATTTTTTGATACCAAAGTAGAGTTTTCGAGCTTAACGATGGTCAGAACGACAACCTAATCTTTCGTAAGAGAGAAAAGTCTTACAACGAGCCGAAGTTATCCGAGATTGACCGATTCTGTTGCATTTATTTATTTTATTGACGAGAAGTCCTTACCTTCCTTTTCGCCCTGACAGTTTAGTCTAACTCACATTTACTCTCAAAAACTGGGCGAATGGATAGATGGACAGACGAGATAGATGGTTGAGTGGGTGGACGGATGGATGCAATCGAGGCAAATGATGTGATATCAATTTGCCGGCCGGGACTCGAAAGAAGGTTCTCGCGCGGGGGTCGCGTCGTCTCCTCGTCCTCGTCATCTGTACGGTTTTTGAGTGACGGGAGAGGGTGGGGGCAACGGCATATCCTCGAGTCTTGCACTCGGTAGCTCAGGGTTTCGCGAGTCGCGGATCGCCAACAGCCCCCAGACCAGGGGCTGCTGCTGTATCGGGTCGCAAAATGCTTGCTAAAGTTGAACTGATTGCCAACATTTCCTTTTTTGCCCTACCCCTTTCCTGTCCTTTGCCCCCCCAACCCGGTACCTCCGACGGCTCCGGCTCTCGCTCCATTCGCCCACCGATTCCGCGAACTCTCTCGCCTGGGCGTCGGCATTGCAGCCGGTCGGCTTCGTCACCTTCGAGTCCCGAGAGCAGGCCGAGAAGGCGATGAACGAGTTGCAGGTAGGTGGTCGGCTCCTTTTTCTGGCTGAAATGGCCACTTTTGCCCAGTAACGGCTTAGTAACGGCCCAGTCGCGATTGCTTGTTGTTAGAATGAGAGGTCGAGTTGAGGAGGAACGGCGACTCGAGCTCGGTCCCCCTCGACGACGGCTCGCGATGGTAACGGCAGGCTTTCGGCGGCAAGCACAAACGGACTTGCCTTTGTCGAGCGTGGGAATTCGGCAATTGTATGGTGTCAGAAAGATACATTTCCACTCGTTTTCACCACCAACGCACAGTTTCTCGCCCATTCGCACCATGGCCATCTCACATCTGGCCATACTGGACACACGTGCAGACATGCACAAACATGTGCACACACTCATGT